TTTGGACATTTCAGGATTAAAAAATAAAAGAGAAGTTGGCATTATGACAGCCGTCAATCAAAAGGTCCGTCTCGACCAATCATACAAGTATTTGTCATGCGGCTGTTTTGCATGTTGTAAATGTGGGTTGACGCCGTTATTTTCCGACAGGGTTATCCTGAGTGGAAGTGGACTTGCCCAAATGGCGGTGTTGCCCAAGTATTTTTGCTCTGCAGTGTGTAATGAGGATGAGTGTTAGTGATGCGATTGAATCCAGCAAAGTCATGTTTGTCACCACTTTGTTGAAAGTTCCCAAACTAACGAGGGGAAAAAAAAAAATGGGGGCTGCCAATGTGAGTTTTTCTTAGGTATTTGCCTGCAAAAATGGTTGGATATTAGAACCTGTCATAAAGGCCTCTGGAGTATAGCGTGCCTAATCCCAAATTGCACTCGTTACCACGGTAATTTGAGGAATTGGGGTTTCCTCTTGGGCCTGTCAAGTCCGAGAATCCTTTTTTTTTTGTTGAAGGGGGGGATGGCTGCATCTCTCCCGGGATCATAGTACCTGAGAGACCTGGTCAACATCAGGGGGACTCCTAAGCCCCTACTACCGTTCCAATCAAATACTGGGCCTTGTCGCACTAGGACACGGCATGACACAGGGGACCAATACTTTGAAAGCCGGGTATGACACAGGAGGCCAATAGCGCTCCATTGAAAGCAGGACTGTACCCCGAGTTGGAGTTGTTACCCAACATCAGTTGATGATGAATTCCTCAGGAGGCTCTCTGACCATCTGCAGACATAAAAGTTGAAAAAGCTGACCATTCTGTTGAGACAACCGTAGGTACAAGCCGTACATATACAGCCAAATTGAACAGGAACTTCAATAATTGAGTCCTCAGACCCACAAGTACACAATGTATGTTACTGTAGGAAGCATGCATGTAAAAGTGAGCAGCCCTGGTGTTTCAAGACAGATTAGTTATCTGCTCTGAGCGGAACAAAAGAGGGTGTGGTTTTTTTTTAGTACTAACTGTATAGGCGCCATGAGGCATGCAAGTACATGTATGTGCGTGTTTGACGCGGAGCATGCTGGGTACGCATAACTAATTTACTCCGGCATGTACATGTACATGTATGGTATTGTGTACACGCAAGACGTGTGCAAGAACCCACCTGTAACCACCTGTCTTTCTTTTTGGCTATTGGGGGTGTACTTCAGCTTGGGGCAGATAAACTACAGATTGGAAGAAGAAAAAAGAACTGTTTCAAATCGTGGACCCTTTGTCCCAGAACTGAAAAGCCAAAGACGTTTCTCATAGACCATCAGTGCAAAATAGAAAGTACATTGAACTTGGCGTACTCATACATTTGTACAGCAGATATCCTGTGGACTGCCGTTTTTTGCTGTGCCGTTCATACTTTGGACTGGGCAACTTGCCAATACATGCCGGTCGGTAATACGGGCGTTTCACAATACTGCGCCTCCAAGAGTTTGCATTGCATTGGCCAATCGCAATGCGTGAAATTTGTCGACGCAATGCGTGTTTGGAAAGAGTCGACAAATTTCGCGCATTGTGATTGGCCTGCGCGTTGAAAACTCTTGGAGGCGCGCTATTGTGAATTGCCCATATTCTACTTGAGCATACAAACTTGTGAAAAGGGCAGTGACCTTCGGCAGGAAATACTTTGTTGATTTTAAGGGGTACATGTAAATGATTACATTGTAGTACATTGTGCGGCGCAAGTGTCTATATAAAATTTCCAGGATCTGCAGGTCCGAGGTTCGTGAGGCTGCGGTACAGAGAAGGAACACTCTGTGGAACCGATAGTTCTCCAAACTCCAGCCTCTTTTAAACTGAACTTACCCTGAAGTGGCTGGATCTTACATGTACATGTACCTGTTATTTAAGTCGTCATCTGATTAACTTCATTGGCAGTCTGCTTTGAAATCTTCCACTTGCCAATTTGGGGTTTTATGCATGTACATGTATAGTGCATTTTAATTTGGTGGGATAAGTGCATGTACACCTGTGAAAAGGCACCACTTTCTTGAAGTTGACGCAAATCAAGAAAACAAGTTGTCATTTGCCATCAGAGAGTTCTTGGAGATTGGAGTTTAGGATCTTCAGTGCACATCAGCCACCGTGCACTTTTTGTTTCGGCAATCTGTATTAAACATGGAATCTGGAAAAATTCCCTTTTTCATGTTCAATAAACGATGTTATTGTTTATTCAGAGCTTGCCTACATGACGTTAAAACCTAGGCCAAATTGTGCCTGATGAAGCCGCTTGCACATAATTAAGTCTTGCAAGCCCGAGGGCGTTTGTACTTGCGACGTTTCCCCGCCTGACAATGGCTTAAGAAAGCCAGTTGTCCAAAGAAAAACCAAGCGTCTGTCACACGCCATCGCCGTCAATTCCTGGCCAATTTTCGGAGGTCCCGTTTCTGGCTGGGCGCTTGCATTTAGCATCCGGCCCGGCCCGTGATCGAATCAGCACGCTTTAGCAGCACGGCAGAGCACTCCTAACACAATTTCACCAAATTTGGACTAATTCATCTGACATCTGTGATATTAGTGTGTAATTATTGGAAAACATTTGTTAGCTTGGCCTATGCTCAGTGCAAACCCAGTTGGGGGGGGGCTGACGGACGGTGTTAAAAGTGCAATTTAAGTGCAAACACGTTCAGTCCCCGTAGGTGTTCAAAGTACAATATTTTGGTCACCTCTCATGTAGACCTGTAGGAATGTGCAGTTTGGACCCTGCCATGGCAATTTCAATTGCCAGGCCACTTTTCAGTTATGTTACTGTACCAGCTACACTGCAGTTGCCCTAGATAATGTTATTTGTGAATGCAGGTTCTCTGCAGTTTTTTCTCAAGTCTTGAAATTCATAGTAAAGTTTAATTATAGAATTTGGAAAGTACTGTACAGTTGAGGTGATAATTGATGAAATAATAACTTACTTGAATTATTTGTTGGGATGACAAATAACCAAAAACTAAAAGGATATTGTTGGTTCTGAGTCGAAGATTTCCCATTATCCCAAAGCATGTTTCAACAATAATTGGTTTGTAAGGTTGGATTGATTTTGACCAACATTTTAATGTTGATTAAATGTTGCCTTGATTACATAATGTACACGTGTACATCGTGCACTTTTATAGTATTATTTTTTAAATTCTACTTTTATCCACTCCATGTCCCCTTTTCAGTTTTGCATAAAAAATGCGGCACACATTGTCCATGTATGATGCGAGAGATGTGAAGGATCAAACGAAAGAAAATAATCCGCCTCCTGCAAAAGATCTTGAAAGCTCCAATCAGGAGGAAATCTAATCACAGTGAGTTCCTTCCTCTGACGTAGGGAGGTTCGAGCACCTATGCCCCAACACAATAGCGCCATACGGCCGCTTTTGTCTGGCCACAGAATAGGCCTGAGCTTGGCTTTGATGCCCCAAACCGTCGTTCCATCTGCTCAGCTATTGTTCAAACAGTCTCCTGGACGCATTCAAGCAGTCACAGCCTCTGCACGGCTCAATTGGAAAAGCGTTTTCTCTCCCGCTTGCCCTCTGGCAGCCTGCTCTGTCAAAATGAGGCATAAGATGCTGAGTGAAGTATGCTGACTTATATTGATCATTTATTTGGGCGAACTCCATTAAAAGTTGTCTTCTGTGCGCACTTCGGCCAAATCATGAGGAAAGGTTCTTCCACGGTGGCTAAATACATATGGATGTACATGTAGTGAGCTCAAAGGCTCTCTTATTGGTCTGCTCATCACATTGTGTGTGTTCAATTTTCTATAATGGTGTCAAACTTTCTTCTCCATTGTTGCCCTGTTTATGGTTTTATGATTAAACTTCAAATTCTGTCCAGATTGAGAATAAACGTAGGTTGCTTTTATTACGGAAATGGAGAGGATTGCAGTACAAATTAATTTTTTGACTAATGATATTATTTACATGTATTTTCACTTGTCAATTTCAAAGAGCATAAAGAAATTTGGGATTTCTCAGTTTGCCCCATCTGTGGCATTTAGTTCACAACAAAAGGAACTGTGTTCTGGTTCAAAAATGCACTTGGGAAATGCCTGTTGAAAAATAGGTTTCTTGCTGTCAGTAATGATCTGGAGGCCTGTTCCTTGTTTCGATGGATCATACTGGTATCTCAAAGGAATGGCTGGTTCTATTACCAGATCGCGTTCAATAAAAAATGCTGTGGATTTTCCAATTCTTATGGATTTCTTTTCTGTTCTCCTCCCCCCCCCCAGTTGTGGTTGCTTTGACTCGCAGCCTTTGTGGTTTTCTTTTCATTGTCAAGAATTCCACCTGCCAATATGGAAATGTCACATAATTTTATTTGTTGACTGCTGTTGTATTATCTTTTTATGCCAGCAGACATGTACCGGTACGAGTAATAATAAAAATGTGGTTTGTTTCTCAAAGTGGTTTTCTTTTTACGAGGAATTAAAATTTAGATTTTCAGTGTCAGTATGGTCGTCCAAATTCATTAACATATTGGAAAAAAAAAAGACAAAGGTGTTGCTTTGTGATTTTGGTAAACCTGTCAAGTTTGGAGGGATGAATCCCAAATTATCCAAATGGCCCTGTGAGTTTTGTGGTTCATCAACTCTATCGTTGGAATCTTTACCGGGGACAACCGTTTTCAAAATTCTGAAGCAGAGAGAGAATTCATGTGATTTATAACTGTACAGGCAGTTAATGAGGATGTCAGAAGTTCGGAGATGGTTATTAGGGAAGTTCCGGCCGTTGCCAGGGAACATTGAAGGGTTTTCTCAGGGAGTGACACATTTTGAAATCAGGGGCATAGCAACCATCAATGATCTAAAAAGCTTTTTGTTAAAAATGCAGAAGGATTGGAATCATTTGATTCTGATGAGTTAAAGTGTCAGTTCTGGAAAATAGAGAATGGTCACTTTTAAGAAAAATTATGTGTAAATTTGAAAAACAGAGACGAAGGTAATGATATTTTTTTACTCGTGTTGTACATATGCAGGAGTTGACCTGTGACTGTTAAAACTGCATGCTACCAGCTCTGAATATTCATTAGACAGAGCGAATGAAGAGAATGAAGGTGGTATGAGATGATTCTAAGCGAGGCACATTTCTGAAACGCAGAGGTGAGTTTTTCACAACTTCACGTCACTCCCGAAGAGGAGCGTTAAGCTTGCCTCCATACCAAAATGTGGAGCTGTAACTCGCAACATACATGTACTTAAACATACCTGTCAAAATGGGTTCTATTTTAGCTCATAATCAGGCACATTACATAAACCGTGTTAAGATCATATTGAAACAAACTTTATTATTTTTGGCTCTCTGCCAAAGGAGATGACTCATCAAAGCCTTTTCTTTTCTGGAGTTGCTGTAGATTTTCTGTAGATACAGCACAGCTTTGTATGTGTTATACCTCATAGGTTTGTTTGTTTACTTATTACAATCACCTTTTGTTATCTGAGTTGGAGATAAGGCCTTTGTCCTATCTGGCTAAGTACCAGCATCTTTGGCTTCCCTAGTGCTTTTGCAGTCTTCCTGTAGTCTTTAGGTCTTTCCACAATCTGATTAAGGGGAAGACTTTAAACTTCAGTTCTGTAGCAGATACAACAATAGCATTGTTTGGTGTGCATCAAGTGCATTGATATGGGTCAGGTGAGTGTGTATACAGACCCAAACCACAACAAACTTTGGGGCCCAGACATGCCCCGCGTAATAAGCTTTGTATTGGGGAACATGTAGGGAGGTGCTTATCGGAAATCCGGATGTGTATATTCTGTGTGCTTTGGAATTCGGAACTGGCTAGGCGTGCGGGTGCCAAGACAGAGGCGCTGTATAGGTACCATAATATGTTGTCGTTCTTTGCTGGGGTTAACGGTGCAGACTGGCGTCGGAATTTTGGTGGCATTGGATGAGATGCTTAGGTTGGAAAGTGCTGTGATTTACACTGCAAAAACTCTGGTATAAATTCAAATCCCTCAGTATCTATGATGCTGGGCTGGTGTTAATTGAAAATCGGTTTTAACACAGTTTTGGAGTTCAGGATGTTCTGACTGGCAAGCTCTTGTTCAAAAACTGTTAATTGCTAGCGTGCCATATTACATGCACATGTAAACGAGACACCAAAAAGGTTATCTTCTACCCTTTAGAAGGGTCAGATACAGGTGGATGTGGCTATGCAGGGGATCTGTCAATCAGAGTTGTTGGGTCCACTACAACATCAGGCACAAGTACTAAAATGAACAGTGACAAAGGAACTTCAGCGTTTTTGTCTGAGTTCATTTGATCAGCTTGTGACTGGGCTTAACTTGTGATGGACTTTTGACAGATTTGCAGAGACTTGTGAGTACTTATGATTGATGACTTACCGTCGGCATGTGTGTCCATGATTTGACTTGAGTGACAATTTTTGGCAAGTCGACTCGAGTCCTGATGATCAAGAGACTTGACTCGAGTTACTGCCAGCAAATGAATTGACTCGAGTCGAGTCCTTCATCTGAAGACCTGAATCTTGCCAAAGTTTTTAAGACTCAGGCCCCAAAAAGCAAACTTGGCTCGACTCGAGTCACAAAATGAGGATTTGTTACAGCTTTGCTGCAGCCCTAAATGTTTTTCTGACTTTTCAATTTCATTTGTGTGCCATTGTGCCTGAAGCAAGTAAACACTTTTAAGAATAAGGATAAACAGTTCTTATAACGCGCCTAATACTATAAAGTCTCTGTGCATTATCCCTGCACATTGGGTTCACATCGTCGGAACATTCCTGAAACCATCTCAGCTCCCTGGGGAGTATACCAGCCTGATGCTGCCATATCAGGTGTACACGGCTAAACATAATCATATCTGCCCTCATACATGTAAATGTAGGTACCCATTTACTCCTGGGTGGAGAGAGGCACATACTAGTGGGGGTAAAGTGACTTGCCCAGGATCACAACATGCCGCCACCAGCTGGATTCGAACCCCCGACCCTAGGATCAGAAGCTACAAACCCTAACCACTAGGCCACAGACAACATCAGTTCACTTCACTTTCACAACTGCAGGGTGTATTGACTTCAATCGATATTATACCAAACTGGACTCGAATAAATGATACTCGAATCGTTGTCACCGAGGCAAAAGTTCAATGTTTGTTTTAGTGATTGCTGCCCTACACTTCACCTTTAAGGCTTTTCCCCTTTGTTTTGAAGACCCAGTTCCAAAGTGCCCGAGACCAAAAAAATGCTTAAGCAAGGTGCAACATGATTTGTGATCCCACTGCTACATTTGGACCACTGGACAGATTAGTGCGTGTACATTGAATGCAGTTGGCTCTGCGTGCAATTGTCAGAGCTGGTGCTTGTGTGTTTTCACTTGAGAATTCAACGTTGACAGCTCTTTTGTTCAGTGACTAGTTTGGACTCTCTGAGGATGCACACCTTTGCCATGGGTATAAAGCTGTATGTTTTCTCTTTGACGTGATGTACCCGTAAGTATTCCAGTACACGTATTCATCACTTTGGCCCCTTTTGCAAGTTGTAAACATGAAAGGAAGTAAACAATTGCTTGTGTTTTTTAAGGAGAGCATACGCATCCCCATTATACTCGTATTTGTCGTAGTAGTCGATCACAGGACAATTTCAACCTGCTAATGAGAACCTAAATTAAATGACATGTACACTATGGGCCCCAAGCTGAACTTAGAGAGGGTGGAATTTCCCAGCAACGGAGGTTTCTTTGGTTGGAATGTCACTTCGATGGTTCACGAACGACTATGAGATGCATGTGTGCGCAGCGCTTCCAACAAAACCAACACTCCCGGTCAGCAGGACACTTGAAGACAGGGAAGGACCTCAATGAATCTATTGGAGTCAGTTCCTACTATTACCAGATGGCTCCAACCATTTCCAAGGGAGAGTTTTCAAGGGCAGTCTCAAATCTAGACTTTTGAGCAGATGCCTATAAGCTACGGGCAAATTGTTTTCCAACTTGGAATTTTAAGAATGCATCCTGGACCGCATCAGACTTTGTCATTTACTGAAGGTGCTGGCACTGATAAATGGAATTTGTACATCTCTCTGTGTATCATGAGGGTTACAATAATGTTCTTGTCACATTTGAACACCAGCATGTATCTGCCTTGAGCAGAAGCACCCCGTCATTGGTGGATTGGAGTCGGGTTGGCATAGTGGTTCTTTCCTCGCCTTTCACCTCTGCAGTCCGGGTTCGAATCCTGGCCTAGTCCACATGTGGACTGGGTTTCCAGTCCCTACCTGATTCCGTGGGTTTTACCCAGAATATTCCTCTGGGGTTTTCCCCCCACCTCTAAAACTGTAACTGTCTCCTCTCTACAGGTTTCTCCAGGCTTGCGAGCTACAGTGCCTAGGGCACTTTTGAGGAATCCTTGGTGTCATTACCAGAAATAAATAAGTAATAAATAAATAATGATGACTGAAACACCGATTTAATGTGACTGCCCAAGCTCTTGGAGATACATGTACTCACGGTCGTTTCATATTTGGGTTTATGGTGGACCTTCCTATACATGTCAATTTTCTTTTTTAAATAGCGTTTTTGTTTATTCAATCTCACAAAATGTTTGGATTTGGCATCTTTGTACTAATCTACAGTACTGATATTTTCCGCGTCAGGAGTGCTTCCATGATTTCATTCTCGGCACAGTCCAGCAGAGCTACATGTACATGTACCAATAGAGATGTTTGCTAGCCACACCGGCCAAGCCGGACAGAAACAGAAGTGTGTACACGTCTTTTTTTTTTCACTGCGATGTGTGTCACGATTTCCTTCACAGGCGAACAAAAGCCACAGTTGGACTCTATCGGAGGCTGTTGTTCCGTTGCTCATTGTCACCCGGGGTGGAAGTGTCATCACAAAGTTAATGTTCAACGTGCCATTTCACTACTGCGCAAACACAACCGCCCCGGCACATTGTTCTTCCCCGACAGACTGTTCATACAAAACACACGTGTACAAGTGCCACGAATCTACAAATTTCCACTCATATCCACCAGTGGTTTTTTTTTTTTTTAATTTCTCTTGGTGTGTATGTGTGTTCCCTTTTCTTGTTGGCCCTGACAGTAATGGATGAGTTATAATATATTCTGTGCTTGATTGTCTTGAATGCAGTTCCTTCGTGATTATCCTTTTCAGAAATTCTGCGATAATGCCAAAGGGAGAAAACGGATTCGATCAGAACTCAATAAAGAATAACAATGAACATATAGATTTTCCTCAGTTGATAGCATACAGAACACACGAACTGAATTTTGAGGATAATTCAGACCACGATGTATGTGTAAAGGACACTCTCGTTGTCTGGGTGTTTTTTGTTATCTGTCATAAAATGTATTTAAATACAAACATGTACCTTTATCTTGAAAAATCATATCATTTTTCTGGCGATATCAACAGATCCGTTGATGCAGTTGTTTTGTTTATTTTAATTCTTTTGTCAGGAGACAGATGGTGTTCTTCGTTGCATATTGGTAGTTTTTTCCCCAACTTTAGAGGAAATGTTGACTACCCTCCACAATGTGAAGTGAGAGGTCGATATTGAGAGGCTGTGTTTGTTAATATGCAGGGTGATAACTATCAAACGCAAAATGGATTTTTTTGGGGACTGTATCGCCAGCATCCTGTAAGCGTGGAATTCTCTACAGACAAGGAAAATTTTCCCAGCTTTTGTATGCCTGCCATGCTTTCAGTGTTCATCAGCATTAATTTTGATCAGCCGTAAAAAGGAAGAGCTGTAAATTTTCTGATGATTTAGGCTCTCTTGGAACCATACATTGGAAAGTTGTTTTCTTTTGACATGCAATAACACAATCTTAAAAATAACCTTTTTTTACATTGTAATTTGTACTCAACAGAGCTAAGATTTGGGGCTTAAATAATTTGGCATTCCATCACAGTAAAATCTCAGGGCGGCCATGCAGAATTCAATAGTGGAATTATAATACACCTCTCCACATTGTTTCAGGAAAACTAATCAATTTTTTTTATATTTGTCAGCAAGAACCACCCCGCCATGGTTCCATTAAGAAAGCCGCTCAAGAAGAAAAGACTCTCCTGGATTCCGAGGCTCCCCGTTCTTTTTTAATACCTTTCGCGGCTGCTTTTGTCGC